ACTCTTTACACGCTTCCCGGCTAATCAGGAAGCCAGGTGGCGAGTCATTACACGCCGCCCGGCTTCCTGATTGGCCGGGAAGCGTGTAAAGAGTGGGAGTGACAGGCTGCACACACTAAGGTAAGGTAACCCCCCCGGGCTTCCAATCAGGAAGCCCGGGTCTTCCAGATTGGGCAGAAAACCAGCTCCATGCTTCCTTGTCACCTGGTGGCCAGTCATTGCACGCCGCCTGGTTTCCTGATTGGACGGGAAGCCAGCTGGTGACGATGGAGCTTGCTTCCCGGCTAATTGGGAAGACGGGTGGCGTGTAATGACATGCCCCCCAGCTTCCTGATTGGCCAAAAAGCCGGCTTCATGCTTTCTCGTCACCAGGTGACGGGGGAGCATGGAGCTGGCTAATCAGAAAGCATTTCGGTGAGTCATTGCATGCCACCCAACTTCCTTAATGGGACTTTCGGAATCGGGGAGTATCAAAAAAAATATATAATTCCTCGATACTGAAACAAAGGTATTGGTGCATCCCTACTTTTCAGTTTATATTTTGCTCTTTGTGCCATTTGAGGAAGTTTCTCTTCAATTCCTGTCTAAGCAATAAATGAGGAGATATCCTTGCACAGCATTGGTTATTCCTTTATCAGTAAGTTGTCACCAGAACAGTTGTCTAAATTAGAAGATTTGCCCTCTGTTCCTGAGGTCTGATAACAGCTGTAACATTTTAGATTGAGAGGGTGAATCTGTATAGTGAGTCCATGCGTTCCTAAACTCCAGGACACGCCTTACATCCATAGAAAGGTGGGTGCTTTGGTGTAATGGCAGATGGCACCATCCGTAAAACAGTCCAAAAAGCAAGGTATCACCAGCACACCGCTGTAGAAAAGCATCAATGGGACATTTATTCGCCACCACAGAGTGTGACATCAAAGATCCTTTTCTTCAGGTACACAAAGTTTAAATTGCCCAGATTCACCAATCACAACTCAGAGTTCTCTAGGATCATACACAGCAGACATTACAATCATTGTCTGAAACGAACAATCAAAAATACACAAATTATAAAGGGAATGATTTATAAATCATTCACCCAGCCAGACGCTGAGTGCTGTTCGCTCTGCATTCCAGCCACTACATGGAGCTGAGGAGCAGAGGAATTTCCTATGGCTGGGCCGATGATTTATAAATCGGTTAATCTTTAAACACCCCGACATGGATCCATCAAGACAAAAGCCTTATTTCATTTTAATCTGTGCTTTTTACTTGTAATTGAGGCGTGGTATTTAATCAAGTAATATTTTACAGATAAACGAGCTGATGTTGGTACCACACTGGCCATCAAACGTAAGAAGCGTGGAAGGATAGAAAAGGCAGACCCCGAGAGCAGCAGTGAGGAGGAAAATGAATGTGATTCTATCGGCAAGAAAACAGCAAGAACACGGAGCTCCCATACCGACAAAAAGAGAGCGACAGGTACCTCTGTCACAGCTAC